TGGAGCCTTTGTTCTTCAGGATCCCCTTGATCGGACGCTGAGAACCGCTGGACGTCGACATGGTGGGCGAGTTGGAGGGCGATCCTGCGGAAAGGCGGGCGGCGGCAGCTTCCAGTGGGGCTTCAAGCTGGCTCTGAAGCAGGTTTGTTTGGGCCGCGTCTCCCAGGCACCGGGCCGCGTCACTGCGCCTGCGTCACAAAGGGCACCGCCAGGGGCCGCTACGGTGGCCGCCCTGGTCTATGTCACTGCGTGGCGGCTCACACCGACAGCTGTTGTCCATTGTTGTTTTTTAAAGGAGTAAGATCGCAGGTATTCATGAGTTGCACAAGAAGTAGGGAAGCATTGGCGAACTTCTCTACGCGCCATGCATGGGGAGGCTCTGCAAAATGAATTTCTCAGTGGGGTTCACTGTCAAAATGGCAAGGCCAATACTTTGTTGGAAGGATTGGTGGCATTGGAACTAGGGGGCAGTTAACTTCTCCCTCCTGTTGCCATCCACACCTTCCTTGCTTCCCACCTACACACACACAACCCCTTGACCCCTCTCCTGCTCTGCCTGCCTTTTAGGGGATGGCCCAGCATCCAGACACTTACACTGGCGGGGGATCTGGGTGCTTTCATAGTGTTCACTCTCCAATCCAGCCCTCAGGTGTTGACATACATGTTTCAAGAAACTCTCCAATTCTCTCTCTCCTGCCACCACCTTGTTTCAAGTCTCCATCATCTCTTGTGGGGACGACACTACAGCCACAACCTTTGAACTTTGCTTCATATAATCCCTTCTTCTGACAACTGAGTGCTGCCAGGAAGGAAGGGGGCTGATCCTGGAACAGAAAGTCCGGAACAGGAAGTTGGAGGGAGAGTGGGAAGAATTGGGGGGCAGGCGGGGGGGCGGGGGGGAGGCCTCCAACAGAAAATAGAGCTGCTTTCTGGCCTCTTCTGGGTTTTCTTCTCTATGTTAAAGACAATTGGCAGCCAGTATACACATTAAAAGAGAGATGTGACAAGATTGGATGGGTGTTTTTAAAAGACCACTCTGGCTGCAGAGTAGATAGGAAGTTGGATGGCAGCGATCATAGTTGTTATAATTATGTGTACATTAGACGGTAAACTCTGAGAGATACAGGAAGGTGTCTGCTTTGTGTACCACCATCTCCAAGTTTGTATCTTCACAACATGATGCTGGACCTGGCACCTGGTAGGTATTACAAAACTATTAAATGAACAATTAATGATAGAAGATAAGGCACTGGAAGAATGAGAAGTGCTACTGGAGAAAACAGGAGCTCTAGAGCCTTTAGAGTTAGTTACCATTTATCCAACCAGTCGCCTGGGACAAACAGCTCACATGTGGAATTTGGAGGCTGTTACAAGGACTGACTTTGGAACCTTTTGTCCTTCTCAGACCTCATATTTTACAATGACATTCTTCTACAAAACAAAAAGGGGATTAAGATCCAGTTGCACTTTCCCCCCTCCAGGTAGCATTCACAAGACTCTTTCCCCTTCTGATAACATTTTGCTTCCTCTTTGCTGGGCCTGAGCCCCTGAATGACAGATGAACAGATGACTCAGACACAGTTCGACTGTGAAAGAGAGGGCTAAGGGGCCCCTGGATCTAGTGGCCAGGGCAGCCTCGATTGCCTGCCTCGTTAGGCCTTTATTGGAATTTTTATCTTTAGATGCAATCAGTAGGGTGAGTAATCTTGGGAGGACACATGTGTTTACATTGTCCTGTAGGCAAGGGCACCCAGGAGTAAGCATAAGGATTCCAGTCAACACCCGGGGGTCTGCACATGCACAGGCTTGTTTGGAAAGATCAAGGAATTACTAGGGGCACCGCCTTCCACACTCCCATAAGTCTCCCCTAAGTCAGAATTCCTATAAACAGGGCAGGTGTCCTTCAACACACTTCCCTTTTCTCAGAATGTCCTCCTTACAAACTTTCCAACCAAGTCTCGTGTGCTCCCCAACACCTCTTCTCTCCTTCAAGGCCTTTTTGCATTTTAGAACACAAAAGCAAAAGCATGAAAGAACCATAAAACTTTTACAAGGGTCTTAAGCACCTTCGGTTCAAGTTGTCCTGTATTGTCCAAAGTCCTACTAATTTCAGGAACTGCAATCACTTTAAAACTGTGTTATTCATCTCAGAAAAAGAATTCCCTAATACCATATTCTTTGAGAAAAGCTGTATTGTGTGGTGAGGGCTTTCAAGGATTCAAAAGCTGATATTCAAGGCTATAAGCAAAACCTCCGGTGTGTGAGGGAAATAAAAACAACCTTCATTATTCCGAAATACTCCAGGCCACCCTCTACAAAGCCTAACTGAAAGGCAGTGCAGACCAACACAAACGCAATTTGTCTTTCTGGCTGGTAGGCATAGTGGGCCTGTGCATGTTTAGCTGCAAACAGGATGTTAATGGAGATGCTGATTCCAGTGCATTGGGATTTTGCTTTTGTGTGTATATAACACCCACCCCTACACACTGTGATCTGAATATACAAGCTGTTCAATATATAATCAGTCAGTGATCCAGTAATTCTTGAGTACTCTGAAACTTATTATTCAGTAGCACAATAGCAGGAGCAATGTGATTCTGATCTATTGCCTGGGCTGTAAAGAAAGCCATTTAAAGAATGAGATCACCAAGCACTATAGATTTCAGATGAATGTAATTTTAAAGTAATCCCTTTTCACCCACCATTTGCTAACTACCTGCTTAACGAAAGTTGCCTTAAGGAAAAACAACAACAACAAATTTTGAGTTCTTGTTATCATACTAAAAATTCTTAATTTAGTCAACACTACTACAAGCCTCAAAGTTAGAAAGGATCATCAGTCTTTCCGATATTCCTCTTTACACGGTTCACCTAGGACAAGGGCAGAGCAGATACGTCTGAGGTTCCATCATGGACACACACAGTCCCCCAGGGCTGACTAAAATTTTCCCAATCAATGACACTTTATATTAAACTAGTGGCCCGGTACACGAAATTTGTGCACAGGGGCGGGGGGAGGGGAGGTGTCCCTCAGCCCGGCCTGCATCTCTCCAATCTGGGACCCCTCGAGGGATCTGGCCTAAACTGGCAGTTGGACATCCCTCTTGCAATCCGGGACTGCTGACTCCTAACCACTCACCTGCCTGCCTTCCTGATTGCCCCTAACCACTCCGGGACTGACTCCTAACCACTCACCTGCCTGCCTTCCTGATTGCCCCTAACCACTCTGCCTACTGGTCTGCTCACCCCCAACTGCCCCCCCACCAGCCTGATCACCCACAACTGCCCTCCCCTCTTGGCCCCTAACTGCCTCTACCTCGGCCCCGCCACCATGGCTTTGTCCAGAAGAATGTCTGGAGGGTCTCCTGGAAGGTCTCCCAGGCTAACTAGCATATTACCCTTTTATTAGTATAGATATAGGCCTGGTGCACAGGTGGGGGCCGGCTGGTTTGCCCTGAAGGGTGTCCTGGATCAGGGTGGGGGTTCCCTTGGGGGGCAGGGTGGCCTGGGCAAGGGGCCTGTGGTGGTTTGCAGGCCAGCCATGCCCACATTGGGATGGGGGTCCCCACTGGGGGGTGTGTGGCCAGACTGGGTGAGGGGTTGAGGGCTGTTTTCAGGCTGATCACACCCCCTTCAGGGTGGGGATCCTCACTGGGGTGCCTGGCTGGCCTGGGTGAGGGGCTGATGGCTGTTTTCAGGCTGGCCACACCCCCTAGCGGGGACCCTCACCCCATAGGGGCATGACCAGCCTGGGTAAGGGGCTGAGGGCTGTTTGCAGGCCCCTCCCTCGGCGGCCAGCCTGAGCGATGATGACCCAAGACTCCCACACACCTGGGCCAGCTCTGTGTCCTCTACTCACAGGCCCCTCCTTTGGCAGCCAGGCGGGCGCCGTGTCCTCTGCTCACAAGCCTTTCCTTCAGCGGCTGGCCCGGGTGGGTGTGCAGTAGGCTTGGGTCGCCAGGGGTGACCCAAGCCTTCTGTGCACCTGCCCCGGCTGGCTCCATGTCTGCCGCCCACAGGCTCCCCCTTTGGTGGCTGGCCTGGGCGGGTGGGAAACTTGGCTTCCTCCATTGCCAGGGGTGACCCAAGCCTCCCGCTTGCTCTGGCTTGCTCTGTGGCTGTGGCCATCTTTGTCCCGCTAATTTGCATACTCACTCCTGTTTGGCTGGTGAGCGTCATGAAGGTACTGTCAATTTGCATCTTTCTCTTTTATTTTTGTAGACTAGAGGCCCGGTGCACAAAAATTTGTGCACTCGGGGGGTGGAGGGAGGGGGGTCCCCCAGCCCGGCCTGTGCCCTCTCGCAGTCTGGGACCCCTCAGGAGATAACGACCTGCTGGCTTAGGCCTGCTCCCGGGTGGCAGAGGGCAGGCCCAATCCCTAAGTGCAGCCCCTGGTCAGGCTCAGAGCAGGGCCAATTGGGGAGTTGGGGCGCCGCCCCGTCATGCACAGAGCAGGGCAGATCGGGAGG